GCGTCGCCACGCGCGGCGCACCTGCGGAGCATTGCCAGTCGAGCAGGGGATCGACTACAACATTGATGTACCACAGACTTGATTTTCTCGTCGAAGCAACGGAGCACGCGTAGAATGCATGTCGAATCCCCGAAGGTGCTACGCACTATTCGTAGACTCGATGCAGAAATCAAGTCTGGGGTACATCGATTTTGTAGTCGATCCCCTACTCGAGCCAGGGCAGGTCTGACATGCTCCTTCTCGAATCCTGCTCGTCCTGCTGCTACAGCATTGCCTGCTGATGCTGCTCCTCCTGCTCCCACCCTCTCTGGCTCCGTTAGCTCCCCTCGCCTTCATGTCACGTCCTGCTCGAGAATTTCGGCCGACGAACATCGAAAAATCATACCCCCTACGTTGGCACATCGCGGCGTAATCTTTCCAACCGCTCCTGGGCAGGCGTTTTCGGTAGAACATGATGGTGGTGATGATGATGATGGTGGTGATGATGATGACGATACTGATGATGGTGGTGGCGGCGGCGGCGGCGATGGCGGTGGCGGTGACGAGCATGAGGATGATGCTGCTGATGATGCTGATGATGCTGATGATGATGCTGCTGATGATGATGGTGATGCTGCTGCTGATGATGAGGATGAGGATGAGGATGAGGATGATGATGAGGATGCTGATGATGCTGATCATGATAATGCTGATGACGATATTGATGATGATGATGGTGCTGAGGCTGATGATGATGCGGCTGATGATACTGATGATGATGCTGATGATGATGCTGCTGCTGATGCTGATGCTGCTGATGCTGATGCTGATGATTATGATGACGATGATGATGCTGATGCAGATGATGATTATGATGATGATTATGATTATGATGATGATGCTGATGAGGATGATGAGGATGATGATGATGATGATGACGACGATGCGTATGTTGTTGATGCTGATGGTGATGATGATGATGCTGATGGTGATGATGATGATGCTGATGATGATGATGATGACGATGACGATGTTGTTGATGCTGCTGATGATGATGATGATGATGATGATGATGATTCTGATGATGCTGGTGGTGGTAGTGATGGTGATGATGATGACATCTCTTGTCTCAAGAACACTTATGGTTGATCCCCCTTCCAGTGCACATTGTCTTTTTCAATCGAAGCGCTCCTCCCAATGCTCGCACCTCCTCTTTTAAAAGGACAAGCCTTGGTCCTCAAACTGCCCCCCTGGACCCCAGCTGCAGCAACAACGGCTCCCGCCTGATGAGTCCTCACACGTTATTCCCAAATCGCGCCATCGCGCGGGACGACGTCACACTTTATGGAGGAATTGCGCTCTCGCGTGGGACTTCCTCGCAATTCAGGAATCACTCTCTCGCTTTGATCTTTCTCACGGTTTACTTGGGAATCGCGTTCTCGCTCGAGACTTTCTAGCGATTCGTGCAGTCCGCACGCTTCAGCAACGCGCCTTCTCGACCTGGCAGCCTGGGCCTGCCTTTCCGACCCGCCCGATCTGCCCGTCTGGTTCTGCCACGTGTGTTCTGCTCCTACCCCCCTCCTGCTAAGTTATCTGGTGCTCCAACCTTCTCCCTCCCCCTTCCATCCGTCCTCTCTTTCCCTGTTTCAGGGGCCTCGCTGGATGCACGTGGCAGTTAAGGAAGGCAGACCCCGAAGGGGCTACGATCGAACACGAAGAGGGCGGGTATCGAGGGTTTGGGATATACGTGTTTTGTGGCACGCCAACAGAACGGAGCGAATAGTCTTAAAACGATGTGGTTTGGAATCCCATTTCGAAAGGATGATTATTGTTGACCCCCTTCTGTAACCATTGCATTGTTCAATCAATGTGCTCCCCCTGGGGCTCGCACCATGTTTTGCACAAAGGAAACCAGGGTGGCACCAAACTGCGCCCTTGGCCCCCGAGCTACAACAGCAACGGCTCCCGCCTGATTATTCCTCACAATGTATGCCAACATCGCGCCCGAACGCGGGATTTCCTGGCAACGTATGATGGCATCGCGCTCTCGCGTGGGACTTCCTCGCAATTTTTTCATAAGACGCGCCTTCGACACCCAGCAATCACGCTTTCCCTTTAGCCTTTCTCGCGATTTACTTGGGACTCGCGCTATCGCTCGAGCTCTCCACGCGACTCGTGCAGGACTCACGCTTCAGCAACGCGCCTTCTCGACCTGGCCGCTTGGGCCCGCCTTCTCGACCCGCCCGTTAGGCCCGTCTGGGTCTGCCACGTGTTTTTCCCACCTGCTAAACCCGTGCTCCGTCCTTCTCCTTCCCCCTTTCCATCCGTCCTCTCTTCCCCCTTTTCAGGGGCCTCGCTGGATGCACGTGGCAGGTAAGGAAGATAATTATGCACGCAAGGAGCACGCAAGGAAGACGGGCTGCGCCAATTACAATTGGCACGCAAGGAGGATATGCCCCCAGGGCGGTACGATCGAAGACGGCGAGGGCGGGTATCGAGGGTAGGGGATATACGTGTTGAGTGGCACGCGAGCAGGCAGGAACGATCAGTCTTACAATGATTGTGGTTGTTGTTGCTGCTGCTGTTGCGGTTGGGTTCCCGCTCCGAAGGCATATTCATTGTTGGTCGCTTTTCTCCGGTATCCATTGCACGTTTCAGTTACATGCTTTTCCCGCGGCTCGCACCCTGTCTTTTTTCAAGGGGATGCAGGGTGTCGCCAAACTGTGCCCCCGACCGCCGCACTACAACCACCACCACCACCACCACCACAACAACAACAACAACAACGGCTGCCGCCTGATGCTTCCTCACGTATTGTTCCCGCACCGCGCTCTCGCGCGGGACTTGCTGACAATTTATGCAGGAATCGCACGCTCGCGTGGGACTTCCCCAGTCTTTATTCAGACGCCGCGCCCTCTACACTCAGGATTTTTTTGGGGGAATCGCCCTATCGCTCGAGACTTTCTCGCGATTCATGCAGGCCGCACGCTTCAGCAACCCGCCTGCTCGACCTGGCCGCCTGAGCCCGCCTTCCCGACCCGCCCGTCAGGGTCTTCCCGATGGGCTCGTCTGGTTTTGCCAGATGTTTTTTTTCCTCGCCCCCCTCCTGCTATTTTTTCTCGTGCTCCATCATCCTCCACCCCCTTCAATCCGTTCTCTCTTCCCTCGTTCCAGGGGCTACACGAAGCACGCGCTGCAGGTGTTGAAGATATGCACCCACAGGGGTACGATCGAAGACGAATGGGTGGATATCGAGGGTTGGGGATACGCGTGTTGAATGGCACGCGAGCTGTTAAGATGTAGTAGTTGTTGTTTTTACTGTTAGTGTTGTTGTTGGTGTTGGTGTAGTTGTCTTTGCTGGGGCTGTTGTTGTTGTTGTTGTTGTTGTTTTTGCTGTTTTTGCTGTTGTTGTTGATGTTGTTGTTGTATGTGTTGGTGTTGCGGTGGTTGTTGTTGGTGTTGGTGTTGGTGTTGGTGTTGGTGTTGTTGATGTTGTCGTCGTCGTCGTCGTCGTCGTCGTCGTCGTCGTCGTCGTCGTTGTTGTTGTTGTTGTTGTTGTTGTTGTTGTTGTTGTTTAAGCATCATGTCCGCGCGTTGATTATGACTCCCAGCCCAGTAGCCATTGTTGTAGTTTTCAGTTGCAGATCGGAGATACCAGTTTTAAAAGGATTGTTGTTGTTGTTGCTGTTGTTGTTGATGTTGTTGTTGTCGGTGGTGGTGGTTATGGTGGTTGTGGTCGTTGTTGCTGCTGCTGTTGCTTGTGGTGCTGTTATTGTTGCTTTTGCTGTTGTTGCTGCTGCTGTTGTGGCTGTTGTAGTTTTTGCTATGGTTCTTGTTGCTGCTGCTGTTGCTGTTGAGTTCTCTTTTTCCATAGAAAATATACTGTCGGTTCCCTCCAGTCCATGGTATTTTTTGAATTGAAGTATGCCCCTCGGGGCTCGCACCTCAACTGCGTTGTTGGCCCCCGAACTATAACAACAACTGCTGCCGTTTGATATTTCCTCGCAATACATTCTACAATCGCGTTCTCGCGCGGGACGCCCTCACAATGTATTCAGGACTCGCTCTCTCGCGTGGAACATCCTCGCAATGTATTCAAGCGCAGCGCCCTCGACACTCAGGAATCACGCTCTCGCTCTGGCTGGCCTTTCTCAGGCTATCGCTCGAGCTCTCCTCGAGGTGCATGCAGCACGCACGCGTCAGCAACACGCCTTCTCGACCTGGCCGCTTGGGCCCGCCTTCACGACCCGCCCGTTATGGGCTACCACGATGTGTTTTCTGCTCCTAGCCCCTCTCCTTCTACTCTCATGCCTCTATCCTTCTCCCTCCCCCTTCCGTCCTCTCTCCCCCTGTTTCAGGGGCTGCGCCAAATACACGCGGCAGGTAAGGAAGAACTACCACCGAGGGGGTACGATCGAAGACGAAGAGGGCGGGTACCGAGGGTTTGGGATATACGTATTGAATGGAACGTGGGCGGGTAAGAGCGATCAGTCTTACAAATGATGGGTTGTTGTTGTTGCTGTTTCTGTTGTCGTGGCTGTTTTTGTTGTTATGTTTTTTTTTGTTGTTGTGGTTGCTGTTGTGGTTTTTGTTCGTGTGGTTGTTGTTGTTGAACTCTCATTCCTGAAGAATAATTGTTGTTGATCCCCCCACCGGCGCATATTGTTTTGTCAATCAAAATGTGCCCCTCGACGCTCGCACCCGGTTTTTTATCAGGGAAAGTCTTGAGGATCAAACTGGGCCCCTGGCCCCCGGGTTACAACAACAACGGCTCCCGCCTGAGATTCCCTCACAATTTAGCCAGGACCCCCGCTCCCGCCCGAGACTTCTTCGAATTTTATTCAGGAATCGCGCTCAACCTTACAATTTATTCAGGAATCGCTCTCCCGGCGCTCTGGAGTCCCGCTCTCGATGGAGTTTTGCTTGCAATTTACTGAAGAATAGCGCCCTTGCGTGAGTTTTTCTTGCAATTTACTCAAGCGTTGTGCTCCCGACACCCAGGCACCCAGGAGTCGCGCTCA